ATATATATGGCCTTCCTGTAATTCTCCAACACTAGGCTCAGCTAACTGAAACATAAAACACAATTAACTGATTTACTGAATACTTTACACTATGTCTTTTATTTTTTTGTTCATTTCTTGGAAAGCATCATCTGTTTTTCAATACCGGTACACTTCCAATGTATTCTGATGATAGCATTTAATTTCTTATTTAAAAAAATAATATGTGCTGAGTTCACATAGGTGTTCAGATTTTCAATATACAGAATTGTTCTGTTTGAAGAGGTGCTCAGTTTACAGAAGGGTTCACTTTACTGAGGTGGTCAGTTTACAGAGAGGTGCAGTATATACAGTATATGTAAATTTACCATTTAAGCAGCTCTATTGTGTGTATACTTATTTCCAGTTTACTGGTATACCAGATCAACTAACAGACTGTTTTGGTATCTAATTTCATACTAGTTTAGACAGGTTTCACCTTGTCTGTGATTTGACACTAAGTTTTAAATAAATAAATGTGACAAAAATAATTATTCCATTAATACTTACCTCATTACCAGTTGACATAACAGCTACAGTTGGTTTACGATACACATCCACTGTTGTCACGCCAACAGATGCCAATAAACCAAGCTCTGAAGGGCCTAATTTGATAAATTTACACAGGATGGTTTGCCCCGCTTCGATATCAACACCTGTGGGTCTAAAGTAAACAAATTATTACACGCAAGTTAGACTTGCTGCTGTACTGTGGTGGAAAGACACAATAAGCTATGATATTTTAAATAAATATGCTATAAGCATATACAATATGAATTATTAAAATTTAGAATCAATATACATCTTACAAATAAAGGTGTTCTTCACAAATACAATAAAAATCTTCACCTGTGTTCTTCAGAGATATCTTACAATGTACATATCAATATCAAAATATGGCAAATATCAGTGCAGTTTGACAACAGGATAGTGACAATGAGCCAAAACAAAGTGTCTAGGACATAAGACTCAAAATTAGTCAGAGACAATGTAATCATGCATTAGTATATACATGATTGATGCTGATTACATTGTTGATATGGCATCTGTTTGATGAAAGATCCTTGTTGATATGAAATTATACCTGCTGTACCTTTGATAGGCTTCCAATTATAGTTTTCTTAAATTGCTAACCAAAACAAAATGTTGAACCGTCGAGCTGAATTGATTTTCACAGTATGTTCTGTTTCATGCTTTATGAATTAATGAATCATACATTTTTTATTATAAAAAATTCATATACTTTCCAGTGTAACATAGATGACTGCAATACAAAATCATTATTTTCTATCCAAAAATAAAGATTGTAATATTATCTTGAGAGAATCAGAAACTCTGTTATTTATTTATTTATTTAAGTATCACAGGAAATTAGGATAACAGATGATCCAGACTAATTAAATACCTGATATCTTGACCTGTTTTGGGCGTTTTTAAAATACGGACTTCAAGTTCAGTGCATCCCTGGAAGACATCAATTGAAATGCACTGATAATACAAGGAATTTTATATTTATATATCACACTGTCAATGCAACACCCATCTTTTCATGTAATTTTTATTGTGAATCAAACTGATGTAATTGAATTGACATTCTGTACAAGAGATGTTTTATTTTTAACAGAATTATAACTTACATCATCTGTGTCTTTGATAAGCTGGGTATCTTCAACTTGAACTACAGCATCAGCACCAGGTGGTAATGGAGCACCAGTAGTAATTCTCATAATGTGACCTGGTTTGACCTCTAAAGATGGCATATCCCCAGCCAGACTATCACTGATTACCTGACGATCACCAATACCATCAGAAGCTGCAATCATTTATACTTTCGATAATTACAAAATTCTGTATATTGCATATATTCCCTCTATAGTGCATATCCTGTACACTTTTTCAACCAGGTTTTTATTCAGACATTTCTTTGCTTGATGTCCGCAAATATGAGTGATTACCGCCAGTGTTTTAGTATCTATCTGAGATAGAAGATTGTGAAGTGAAGATTGATTCTACTCTGGTGATAATCACAAAAATTTGTTCATGTCAATCTGGTAGGATAATACATTTATCACATGCATATTTTAACAGTCTGAAAAAAGGAAACCTGGAGATCAGTATGGAAAATGAAACAAACATATCATTAAGAGTGCCTCACATGCCAATTTTGTTGATGCTAGGGTGTTCTATCTATGCAATTCTGCTCAATTTACTAAGATTTATTTTAATTTCAACCGATTTTTGAAGGGACTGGATAATAATTATAAAATTACACATGAGATTGCCAAAAATAAGTCATTATTACCACAATATGAGACTGTAATACCACAGTATGAGAGTCCAATAGTGTACATGTATTCTTACCAATGACAGCGTAGCCATCCTTGATTGATGCAGGAAATGGTGGTACAGCTACCTTAGCTTTTACATCACAACCAAGTATACAACCTAATGCATCTGATATATAACATCACACAATATAAAAATTATAAAATATGAAACAATGCACTATATATTTTCAAAACACTTTCATTTTGGAGATAAATGAACAAATATATTAATGCGTTGTTTTTTAAAATATTTTTTATGTTGTTTTTCTATAATCATCATGTATAACTAATGTGTCCATAATTTATAAATTTACCTTGACTAGAAATTGATATGATGTCAGATACATGGGTGTTACTCATAACTCTTTCCACTGCATCATCAAATGTGATCATAGGATATGGGGAGTGACGCGGACGACGTGCTATCTTCTCTATATCATGATGCTTTGGTTGTGAGTTACCTGCAAGCAAATGGCGGTGATAATGTGGGCATTTAGTGCTTGTATACACAATACGAATCACAGATATAATAACAGTCTGTTTAGGAATCTAACATACTACAATAAAATTGTCATACAAGTTCAGATTTAAAGATCTGTTATAAATAAATAAATCAAAGTACCATATACTCTCCATTTTGAAAACGTACTAGACTCTAATACTTTGAACTTTGACCTCAATGGAATTAACCTCAAATCAACCAGCAACAAATAAATTTTCATTTGATTGGTTGGTTGAACTGACCTCCATTTTTTATTTCTACACATCTAGATAGGGAGCTGAATTAGCAGTAAGAAAACGGACATTTCATGAATATTTTTGTTTATATTTTCCAGATTTTCAGAGATCGAATGTCAATTATGACGTTTAATGTAATGTAAAAGCAACTTTTACCAAATTTAGTCCAAATTTTGTACCGTATTATCAAGTCACTAATAATCCTAGTGGTAATAAACAATGATACAGAGAAGATAAATTGTCACTATAGCAACATACCATTGGTCTCTGCACCATCTTCTCTGACATGGAAATGATGCTTATGGTGATTACAGTCTTCTTTTGCACGGTGGTTACCATGGTGATGGTGATCGGAGGGGCGATGTGGAAGACGATGATGATGTCCGTGACAATCATGCTTCAGGGTCAAACAATATTCGAAAACAAAATAATGTAAATATCAATCAAAATATCCACTACATATTTCAGTTGAAAAGAGCTATATATGGAAGTTGAAATATAAAAACACCTCTATTAGGATCATGTGAAAAATGTTGTGTTTGAAGCATTGTAAATTGTATTATCAGATATATTTTGTTTGTACCTTTTAATGTAAGAAGTATTATGTGTCACATTATTCACAAGATATCCAAGTTTTAGTAAAAAGAAACTGCTTTGCATGATGGGATGCTAGTTAATCTAGATATAAGGCAATTTGTTGGGCTTCCATTAACTAACTACTGATTTTGATGCACACTGGAATTAATTGAATCAGTTGAATGTAAAATATAGGAAAAAAAGGTATATTCGCTGTATTTTATTTTCACTGAATCATTCCGTCAGGGAAAATAGCAAAAATAAGGTATTTTACAGTAGCATATTTTACTAAGAATTTCTAAAAAATTTAAACATAGTGATGCAATGAAAAACTTGTCCTTAATGGGAAATAATGAAGTATTATGGGATAACAAATTACAGATTAGTTTGTGTTAGAGAAAATATTTCTGATTGTTTCACAAAATTGGTACAGAACTAATTAACATTTCATTTTTAAATGCCTGGGTTTTGTAATTGCAGCTTTAATTAATGTCAGAGACAATGAATGATTTAGTGAGACCTGGACTGGTATCATGGTTGATTGATCAATGCACAGTTTCAGTGAATCATTGGGAATTTGTTTGTACACAAGAGATATGATTCTATTAATTCAACGAGAAGTCTGTCAGCTAATATAGCCCCACTATTTGAGATTCACCCTGTGAAAGCAATTTGAACCACAATATGTTAATTTATTCTGACAATGATTATTATACCAAAAGGACTTAGATTGCATTCCATAACTAAGTATCTGTCTAAGCAACATGGGTAGTGAAACTAAAAAGATTTTAATTCCAATTTCCAAACAAATTTTAAATAATTATCAAACTGAATTTTACATATCAGATATTTTTTATTGTCAAATTCAACAGAAAATGTTGAAGGCATGTTATGAACCACAAATGGAATACAAATACAGTAGATATAAAAGTACAAAAATGAGATTACTTGCATTTATTTCCATGTTATCTGTGAAACTGTTTTCTAAAATGTATTCATTTTACAAGATCAAAGATTGCTTTTCAAACTTACTGTCACTGACTAGTTAGTGATCTCACTCACTCAAAGTGAATTTATATTGTAATTCAAACCAATAATTTCATGTATACATGTTATTCAAATTATTGGTACTGAAATTTGAAAGCAACTATATGGTCACCTGACTTGACATTAATATACATCATATCGTGGTGAATCAGAGAAAAGATGTGTGAAAATAAATTAACTCTGTCAAGTCTAAAATAAACTGATTTAAATCTCAAGCTGTTGGCCAATTTTACACTACTTTTAATATTTTACTATGATTATATTTAAGCATTAAATTGGATATCATAGCGAGAATAAAAGTTAATAGCATCTGATAATGTTTGAAACATATTATTGAATCCTGATTATTACACACTGTAGTCAACATGTTCAGCAAAACTACACATTAAACTGTGTAAAACATTCTGTTGAAAATACCCGCAGTCTGTTGTTACAAATCGCATATCAAGTGATCAATAATGCATCTACCAGTATAATAAACACTATGTAAATGGTCATAATACATTAAGTATTAATAATCATTAATTATTTTCCAAGTAGAAACACCCACTCCCCACCAACAAACCAACCACCAATGTAGAAACCTAAAAAGTTCACAGGAGAATGCTTCTAAACTGGTGGAATGTATAAACATGATTTACATTACAGTTACATTTGTAAATGCTACCATTCACGTAATACGCACATAATAAGCACATAATACAGGTATGTTATTTAGAAAATAAAGGAAATGTATCGTTTGTTATTGCAGGATGTGGGATGTATGCAAATAATGGTTAAACTTTGTCAATTTAATTTTATTATTATGTCCAAGTCTTGTCAATGTACAATAAGTGGTGGAGAGCTCTTGTTTCCATTACAATACACACAAATGTTGAGAACCAAGAAACATGAAAGCACCTATAAATGTTCAGTTATGTTTTATGGCACTTAATATGTTTATTTTACAATTGTTGATATCGATTGTACTGGGATACGTGGGTATCTTCCTCACTATCGCTTGATGACATCAACTCAAAGTCTTTTGATTTCTCGATACTCTCCAAAGCCTGCAATGCAGTTATTGGTTGTTTACAAACTTTATTTTGAGTGCTTTTTATTTTTTTATTTCTACTACTACAAAGGGTTACAACAGATTTAACTTTCTTATTGGGTACTGCTATGATATCCACAGTGCCAGTTTTTCTCTTAACCATTGCTGATCTATTCTGATGCATGTTCTGGGTATGACTGATAGCAACACATGATGGATTGAGTGTTACAGTCTGTGGCTGCTGTGGTAGATTTCTTTGGTCATCATTTGCGGTTGTTTTCACCTGCTTCTGTGATTTAGCAGTCCCAGTCTTTTTCTTGAATCTTGACACTAAGAAAGACACTTTCTGTTTTGAGACAGGGAATGGTGATTTACTCACGACTGGATGAGCCTTCAGCGACTCACAGATATCGGCAACCTTTGATTGCTCATTAGTGTAGGACATAATCACGTCTCGCGTGTTTTCATCTAGTTTGAGAGAATGTTTAGGAGGAGGTTGCCATGGAAATGTTGCATCGTCTGGAATGTGATTTCCTGTGATTTTAATCTTCCAGTTGGATAGATCACCAAGGAATATCTTCAATGCCACATGTACTGAACAGTTATGTCTGTCTTGCTTGTGAGCCATTCCTTTACACCCTAAAACACAGCAATGTAAAAACACATCAGTTAATTTAACAAAGAAACGGTACAACATGTCTTTGTATAACCATGTTAAAATACAGCTTGGTACCACACAATACAATGAATGTTATATTACATATTAAAATCTGCTAAGCAATATGTTATACCAATTTTTTCAACTATACTGAGTACTTGGTAAGCTTACAGGTACATGTATTAATTGAATTTTCAGCCTGCCTATAAGTCATTGCACAGTTTATAAATGTTTCCAAAACAAACTGGCAAGTGTCTAGTTATGAACATAATCTGGTATGTTGTTGAAATGAACTCGATATATGGACCTCCAAACCTATGATCCACTATGAATAAAATGGAGAGGCAATTGTTATGGAGCAAATACATGTAATCGTGGCCTTATTACAAATGATATGTAGGAGTAAAGCCACCTGTCTATATAGTGACCACTTTTAGACAGTAGCATGGCATAAAAAGATCACCACCTTTTCAGAAATATTTTTGTAGATTTACATAATGATGATTAACATTCTAGTCAACTAATTCTATGATGATTTTGATCAAATAATTTAAAATAAACGTGTTTTTGTTGCAAAAACACCATCGCATTATTATCCATAAAAAAATATGAAAAACACCTGCCTATAAAGACTACTTCAATGAAGTCCCTTGTATGGTCGTTGTACACATGTATGACTGTAACTACAATAACTACCCTATACCAAGAGTCTTTAGAACAAAAATCTCCCTACCAAGGGTTTCTTTACGCACAGTGATATCATTCTTTAACTCAAATAGTCCATTTTCTGTTCACTGCAAGATTATGCATTACTGTAAAATACTTTATTTCAGCTAGAATTAATTTTCGCTGAAAGACTTTTTGTATAGAATTTATTTTCACTGATTTTTGATGAGTTAAATGTAAAAACATAGGAAAAAAGGTATATTCGTTGGATT